GCTCTTGAGCATGCTGAGGTCAACCCGAGCGACACCCAGGAGCCGAAGAGTGGAAGGAAAGAGCACCGAAGCGTCGCCTGCTCCTGCTCCTGCTCCTGCTCCTGCTCCTGCTCCTGCTCCTGCTCCTGCTCCTGCTCCTGCTCCTGCTTCTCCTTCCCTGCTCCTGTGTTCCCAGACCTGAAAGAGGAGGGGAGAAGAAAGGTCGAGAGGAAGAAGATGTTGCGAGCTCCAGTTCGGCCGCAAACTTCCTGAGCAGACGCTTGTGCTGACCTCGAGCTGGGGGCACGAGACCGAGAAGCCGCCAAGGGAGGTGGAGGAGCCTTGCAGGATCCGACCCTCCTCGATCTTGATATCGAACCACTGCTGCTGCTGCTGCTGCTGCTGCTTCTGCTGCTGCTGCTGCTGCTGCTGCTGCTGCTGCTGCTGCTGCTGCTGCTGCTGCTCCGCTTCCTTCTCCTTCCTGGGCCCCTGACCTGCTCGACCTCTTCCGTCGGCGAACCTCGTCCAGCTCCTCACTAGCTGACATACCCCCCTGGCTCCACCAACACCACCAACACTTCCTCCTCTTCCTCCTCCTCCTGCGCGTCTGCGGGTGGCTGCTATTTTCATCCTTATCCTGCCCAGCATGGCTGACGATCCTTCCTTGACGAGGGGAAAGAAGCCGCCAACCCATCTCGTTCGCTCCTCCTCCCTTCCCAGCTCCTTCCCCAGGAGCTTGAGGAGGAGGGAGCGGAGGCTGAATCTGACTTCTCCCAGCTGCATGCTTCTCATCCTTTCCTCGTCCTCGTCTTCCTCTTCCTCGTCCTCTGCCAGCATTTCACACCGGATCCAGACATCACGAGTAAGCAGCTTTGTCATCGACTGCCTGTCAAGTCGCACTGGGAAGACACGAGAATGGTCCACGACGAAGATGTTCTGTTCCTCGTCCTCCTCCTCCTCCTCCTGCTCCTTGTCCTTCCTGTCCTCCTCCTCCTCCTTGTCCTTCCTGTCCTCCTTCTCCTCCTTGTCTTTCTGACGTCTCTTCTTTCTTCTTACAGCCAACTTTGAAAATTCACAGACTTGTCCGAGGTCGCAAACACAGAATCGAAACCTGATCCTCCTGCTCGTGCTCGTGCTCCTGGTCCTGCTCCTGCTGCTCTTCCCGCCAGCAAGATTGTTCCCAAAGTTCATCGCATGCTCCACCTCCTGTGCTCCATCGACGACAAGTTCCTCAAAGATGACATGCAGGCTCAGCTCTCGCGCACTCGCGCTTCCGTCCTGCTCCTGCTCCTGCTCCTGCTCCTGCTCCTGCTCCTGCTCCTCCTGCTCCTCCTCCTCCTCCCTGAGATCACAGCAGTGTCTGATCATCCTCGAGATCAACATCTCATCATGAGCTCGCAAGCAGCTCTGCACTCCTTGTGACTTCCTGACCGTCAATTCGACAGCGCCTCCTCCTCGCCCCCTGGGCGTTCGGAGAGCAACCCACGTGCTTGCGCGATCGCTGTAGAGGAGGGAGGAGAGAGGAAGGCTGACTTGGGAGAGGAGAAGGTCTGAGGACCGAACAGCATGTGACAGCAGGACATGTCGGCAGCAGTTGTTCGAGTTGCATCTGTGATGCTTGCGACATCTGTGGAAGACAAAGATGTGCAGCCTCGAGTTGTTGACGTAGCGGATCAGATCCTGCTGCGATGGGAGGGGAATGGAGAGCTGGAGGTTGAAGGTCGGGGAGAAGCTGTGAGCTACGATAGCACTGCTCCAACTCTTGTGTGCTCCTGCATAGTCTCCATCATCATCTGCGCCTTTGTCTTCATCTTCATCATCATCTTCGAGCTTGCACACGACGAACGTGTTTGGCCCATCGAACATGAGGAGACGGCAGTCTGCCGACTTCTCTTCCACATCGTCGACTGAGCTCTTGAGGCCCATCGCTCGGGTGATGGTGACGTCAGCAAGAAAGGAACGATCCTACCGGTCAAGTTAGTGAGCAGCGATGAGAAGAAGATTGTAAGCACAAGGGTGGGGCGAGAGGAGGAGCAGGAGGAGGAGGAGCAGAAGGAGGAGGAGCAGGAGAAAGAAGGAGGAGGAGGAGCAGAACGAGGAGGAGCAGAAGGAGAAGGAGAAGGAGCAGGAGGTGCAGGAGAAGCAGGAGGAGGAGCAGGAGGAGGAGGAGGAGGAGGAGGAGTGTGTAAGATCATCTCACCGACTCTGTCTCGGGTGTTGGCTGTACAGCCCTCCTGTGCTGGGAGTAGGCGAGCTCAACTTGCAACTCACTCGCCGACTGGTCAGGAACCGAGAGGTCGGCGCAGGAGAGGGGGAGGCGAAAGAGCCTTGAGGATCGGGAAGAGTTTGCTGCTGCTGCTGAGATCAAAAAGGGCCTGATGAGGGAAGGAGATAGGTACGAGAAAGCAAGCTCTCTGTCCTCTTGCTCAGTCCCAGTGCCCCTCCTGAACACCTTGAACAGGACACCGTCGCAGGCAGGAGCGAACTTTTCTCCTGTCCCTCCATGGCGGCTGGAAAAGGTCGCGAGGCAGGTCGAGTGCTGAAATCTGATACAGGAAGAGACTCTGAGGAAGCAGGAGGACGTCTGGCAAGTCCCGTCGTCGAGCTGGAACGCTAGGTAGACCTCGTCACCTCCTCTGACGCCCGTCATGCGGTCAAGGTGATACAGAGCATTGACCTTGAGCGTCAGGACGTGTCTGACCTCCGTCCCTTGCCCTCCCTCCTGCCTCTCCCTCTTCCAGCCATCGTCGGCTCCTTCAAGTCGATCTCGGCGAGGGAATTTCTCCAGCTCCCAGTGATCCCCAGCTGCACGGGTTTGCGGGTTGTGAACATTCTCGGTCTCATGTTCACCTTTCTTGCAGACTTTTCCGACTCTTGTCACTATCTGAACATCTTCACGACCTTGATCGCGATCGTTTCCATTGTAATCTCTACAACTTCCATGTCGTGCTCCCTCCCGCTCCTCCTCCCGCTCCTCCCCCTGCTCCTCCTCTTGCTCCTCCTCCCGCACAGCCACCCGGCATGCTCCCGTCCCAGCCTGCTGCATGGCGCCCGTCACCATCTTCAGTTTCTCCTCGGTGACTCTTTTGACCTCCCTGTCCATGTTGTTGTTCAACTTCAACTTGCTCAAGGTGTCTCCGTAGCCATGGAACAGCGTCAACGCAACCTGACCCACGTCCTTCCCTGTCAAAGGGTTGCGGACAGCGAACTTCCCTTCGATCCAGATCGCATCTTTGACGCAGCTTTCCTTCCCTCTTATCTTCTCCTTCATTCCATCTCTGTTTGTTTGTTTGCTCACACCCGCATTCTTCGATTTGTTCTTCTCCTTGTTGTCCTCAACTTTGCCTCCTCCTCCGACTGCGCTCTTGTCCTCGCAAGTCACTCGGCACAGACCGACCAGTTTCTTCCCTCCATCCTCCCTCACGTCCCACACCTCCAACAGGACGGTGCAACCATCCCGCCCCTCCCCCTCCTCTGACTTGTTGAACAACTTCCTTGCAACCAACTTCTCCTCTCCTCCCATCATGTTCTTCACCACCAGACTCGCTCCCTCACCCCGACACTGGAGCGATCCCTCAACAATCCTCCCCGCAAACGGCTGCCCACAACATCTCCCCAGCAGCAGCAGCTTCCCTTGCCCTTGCAACCCAATCAGGTCCTCCACTTGCAACAGGAAGTCGATCCTCTCTCCCTTTCCTCCCTCCTCCGCTCCTCCCTCCCTCCTCCTCCCTTCCTCTCCCGTCCTTCTCTCGCTCTCCCTCTTCCTCCCGTCTTCTCCCGTCCTTCTCTCGCTCTCCCTCCTCCTCCCGTCCTCTGCCTCTCCCGCGCCAACTTCAGCATCCTCCATGGTTGGGCACCCTCGGTGGAAAGAAACGGAGACATCGAGGCGCCCAACGATGTTCTCCTGCTCCACGTCCCTCTGAAACAACGAGACAATCATGTCATCATATCTTCCTCCTCCTCCTCCTCCTCCTCCTCCTCCTCCTCCTCCTCCTCCTCCTCCTCCTCCTCGTCTCCTCCCGCCATCGTTCGCTTGCTTCAGGTGAATGATACCCGCCCATCTCCCGTCCTCTGAGCTCCAGACTCGGTCCAGCTCCATCCTCCCCGTTCCAACCATCCTCATCTTTCCCACCTCCCTCCTCTCCTCCTCCCCGAACACTCGCGTCCTCGCCTGGTGCAGCACGCGGAACTCCAGGGAAGGAGGAGGAGGGGTCGAGCGGCCACGGAGGAGGAGAACTTCCCTCCTCCTTATCGGCACCTTCATCGTTCTTCCTATCGCCATAGTCTGCCCTTCTTGCAGTATCATCGAGCCCGGTACCTCCACCCGTAACTGTCGATGGACCAAGATTTCACCCGCTCCTCCTGCTCCTGCTCCTGCTCCTGCTCCTGCTCCTGCTCCTGCTCCTGCTCCTTCCTTGGTGTGCAGCACGCAGTCGATGTACAGCTCGTCTCCCGGCCGAAGCATCCCTCTTCCTCCTCCAACGGCAAGGAATGATATGTTGGCAGCAAGATGAAACATCTCCTCCTGCTCCTCCTGCTCCTCCTTCTCCTTCTCATTCACATTGCTTTCTCTAGCCTCGTCCTCCACCTCCGTTCTTTCGTCTTGGAAGTGTCCAGGGACTTGTTGTGATGGAGAAGAGGAATCGTGGTCGAGGCAGCACATGTCTTCAGCCAGCAGAATATCTTCTTCGCTCATCTCATCTTCCTCATCCTGTTATATCGAAACAAGAGAAGAGGCAGGAAAGGAGAGTCAGGGAAGTAGGAGGGAGAGGAAGAGGATGAGAGAAGGAGGAGGAGGAGGAGGAGGAGGAGGAGGAGGAGGAGGAGGAGGAGGAGCAAGTCAGATCTCTTTTTAAAATTTCATCTCAAATTCACCTTGGCATCTTTTTGGACAAGCTCCTTGTCGTTGGTGGCGCATTGTATCTGAATTAGCTCATCGTTTTTCGTCCCACGTTTCTGAGTTAGCTCATCCATCTCCCCGATCAGCGATTTCCCTTTCATGAGCAGCTTTTCCAGCAGCTCTACCGATCGCATGCAGCTGTTTGTTTCTCCTCCCCTCAGCCTTCCATCTCTTGTCACCTCGCCTCCATGTGTTGTTTGTGAGTTGTCGTTGTTGTCGATATTGCTGATGTTGCTCCTGTTGCTGTTGCTCCTGCTGTTGTTGTTGCTTCTGCTCTTGTTGATGGTGTTGTTATTGCTGTTGTTCTTGTTGCGGATGCTGCTGCTGTTGTTGTCTTCGTCGCTGTCGTCGAGTGCTCTGTCCTCCTGCCTCCCTTCCTCTCGCCCAGCGAACGACCGTTGGCTCTTGCTCAGCTGCTCCTCCTGCTGCCTGAACGACAAGCTGTCGTCCAGCTGGCCCTGTGACGAGACTTCAAGGATGCTGGAGATGTTATGGAAGTCTCCCTCCTCTCTCCCTCCTCCTCCTCCCGCCTTGCTTGCCCTCCCTCTTCCTTGCTCCCCCTTCACCTTCGACGGGCTCCAATTGTCTTCCTCTATCAGTCGCATCAGATTGTTCATGGCCTGATCGCCATCGTGTAGGAGATCCTTGCTCCCATCCATGATCGAAGAATGCTGCTTTCCTCTTCCCCCTCCTCCTGCTCCTCCTTCTCCTCCCCGTCCTGCTCTGTCGCCATGTTGTTCTCCCATCTTTGCTTCCGTTTCCGTTCCCTTCACTCTTCCTTCCTCTCTGCCTCCATCTGTTCCCATTCCCACTCCTGCTCCCGCTCCTTCCGCTGCTCCTCTCTGCGCTGGGCGGTGGGACGGATACGTCCTATTGAGAGACACCTCAGTGTCGTCGTTGTACCCGCTGAGCCTCCCTAGCCGAGCAGAGGAGGCTGTTTGATCCCCATGGAACCTTTCCGTGGCTGCCGGGGAGAAGGAGGAGGAGGAGGAGGTCTGGACCGGTCCTGCCTCCTCCTCCAATGACGTAGAGTTCAGCGACTTGTGGTTGGGATGGAAAGATTCTTTGGATGCCTCCATGATCTGACGGCCAGTCAGCGCAAAACCTGACCAGCAGCTCGAAGCTCGTGGGGTACTCACCGTTGACAGATGCTCCACGTGTGAAGAGTGGATTGAGAACTCGTTGTGGTAGGATCCGGGAGGGTAGCTGTCATGCGAGTCAGGTGGAGTAGCAAGAAAAGAGGTGGATCGAGGAGAGGGAGAGGAAAGAGGAAGAGAATGGAGAGGAGGGAGGACGGAGAAGAAGCTAGGAGAAGAAGGAGTGGGAATGATTATGGTGGTGGTCTTGATGATGATATAAAGGAGGTAAAGGGGGGGACGAAGAAGGAGGAAAACATGGAGGAGAAAGAAGAGGAGGAAGAGGAGGATGACGAGGATGAGGATGAGGATGAGGATGAGGATGAGGAACTGGCTGCAGAAGAGTAGAAGGAGAAGGATGAAACCCTTACATGGGGAGCGTGGGATCTGTATCCGCCAGCATCTCATTGACTTCGAAGGACGTTCGTTGCGGACTTGTCTTGAAGTGCATGTCAACAACTACCTTCATCTCACCGATCTGAAGTCACCCGTGTCAGTCCCTTCCCCACACCTCCTAGCATGACCCCTCCTCCATCCTCACCTTGGTTCCATCTGGCGTGTAGATAGCAACATCGTCATCCCACACCGTTTCTGTTTGCGTCTGATGGAGCAGCCCGCCCCAGTCTTTCTCCTCCCTTGACTTGGGTCGCTGGCACTTTTCCAGGACGGCAAGGCAGGCGAGCAGGTCGATGGTGGCGTTAGCGATGATCATGTGGTTGGACTCGTCGACCTGAGGGAGCGTTAGAACATCAACAAGCTTGCAGAGTGCAGGAGAAGGCAGGAAGAGATCTTCAAAGACAGCAAGACAGTGAGAGATA